CTTAGAATCATCAAAACTTTGTGAGTTGATGGACTTAAGGTTTTGGAAAAGTAATGAAAAAAAGTAGGTCACGGTGACCTACTTTTTACATTTTATGGCTTTATTTAAATATCTATGGTAATTATTGGCTTAGAATCATCAAACTTTATGAGTTGATTCGTCTTGGGTTTTTGGAGAGTGACAACCAAGTAGGTCACAACTACCTACTTTAAACATTTTATGGCTTTATTTTAATATATGAGGTATTTTTTGGCTTGGAATCATCAAACTTTGTGAGATGATGCATCTTGGGTTTTTGGAGAGTAACGACTAAAAAGTAGGTCATGGTGACCTACTTTTGACATTTTATGGCTGTATTTTAATATCTACGGTAATTTTAGGCTTAGAATCTTCAAACTTTATGAGTTGATGCATCTTGGGTTTTGGAGAGTGACAACCAAGAAGTAGGTCATTGTGACCTACTTTTTACATTTTATAGCTTTATTTAAGTATATTAGGTATTTATTGGCTTAGAATTATCAAACTTTGTGAGATGATGCGTCTTAAGTTTTGCAGAGTGATGACCAAAAGTAGGTAACAGTGACCTACTTTTAACATTTAATGTTTTTTTTAAGTATCTACAGTACTTATTGGCTTAGAATCATCAAACTTTGTAAGTTGGTGCATCTTGGGTTTTGGGAGAATGATGTCCATAAAGTAGGTCATGGTGACCTAATTTTTTGACATTTTATGGCTTTATTTAAATATTTACGGTAATTATTGGCTTAGAATCATCAAACTTTATGAGTTGATGCATCTTGGGTTTTCGGAGAGTGACAACCAAAAAGTAGGTCAAAGTGACCTACTTTTTACATTTTATGGCTTTATTTAAATATATTAGGTATTTTTTGGCTTAGAATCATCAAACTTTGTGAGATGATGCAATTGGATTTTCGATAGTTATGACCAAAAAGTAGGTCACGGTGATCTACTTTTAACATTTTATGGTTTTTTTAAGTGTCTACAGTACTTATTGGCTCAGAATCATCAAACTTTGTAAGTTGATGCATCATGGGCTTTTGGAGAATGATGTCCAAAAAGTAGGTCATGGTGACCTAATTTTTTGACATTTTATGGCTTTATTTAAGTATCTATGGTAATAACTGGTTTAGAATTACTAAAATTTGTTTGTTGATGCATATTTGGTTGTTAGAGAATGTATCTCGGTTTTCAAAGAATGTAGACAAAAAAGTAGGTCACAGTGACCCACTTATAAATATCTCAAATACTTAGTGGCTTAGAATCTTCATTCTTTGTTTATTAATGCATCTTGAGTCCTCAGAAAACTTCCATCTTAATATAGGTTACTGTGATGTACTTATGGTTTTTATAGCTTTATTATTAAAAATATTTTCAGTCCTAATTGGCAAGAATCATCAAACTTTGTCAGTTGATGCAACTTGGGTCATAGGATACTCAGAGTTAGAGGCTTCAAATGGAACTGATAGATTGTAAATCAATTTATCAGAAGAGCCATTCAAGGCCCTTGGACCTCTTGTAATTATTATTTTTGTAAGTCAAAATGTAAACTTTAAAGGTGATTGGAAATACCATAAATGTTTATCAATATGGAATTTTTCGAATTGAAAAATGTCTTAGGTACATTCATAGAGTGACATGATTTTTATCCAAAATACAGCCAGAATGCAGGATTATACATTTCTGTTTTCAAAATTTCCCGAGGAAAGCCCCCTGAACCCCCGTCAGCAGTAGGTAGAAACCCCTCCCGCACCTACCCCCTAATCGCTTCACAACTCGGCCACCAGCCTTCATCTGTTGGAGAAATTATACATGAACAAGGCAAGTAGAAATTAGAAATGGCTAGCCCTGCTAACAACTATGGTTTTAAAGTTATTATGAGTCAATGCCTGAAAAATTATAAATTTCACTTAAACATCTTATCTTTACATACCGTAAAGATCAATTAAATATTTGATCATTTCTAGAATTCTTACAGCTTATTTGAAGTTTTAACAGATATACATGGATGTTTTAGAGTAGTTATTATAAGTGTTTGAATATATTTTTTTTAATCAAGGGAATTATTTTATTGAATTAAATTTTGTAGGATGAGGGCCCCAAACTTTCGGAGATATGCCAATGGCAAGCTAATTTATCAGATACACCAGCAACAGTTTCTATTGCTAGAGAGAACAAGGCAAGGGGTACTGGGGGAAGCCAAAAACAGATGAACATGTGAGAGCCCTTGCTTTAAGAAGAATTCGCCAACAGCATGGTGTAACCAGTAATGAAGTTGATATACTGGGGCAACATGAACTTCAAATTTGGGACATACAGAGGCCAAACTTTTCGGTGGGTACTGGAAAATTGTCTTGGGTATGCAGGGTGGCTGGTTATGAAAATGGAAAAGGAGGCAGAATCCAACATGGATAAAACTAAAGAGAATAAGGACCAGACCATCAACAAGGAAAAATTTCAAAAGTACATGTTGCATTTTGCTGAGGGAAGAGAGGCAGTCAATATGAAAAAGGAGACACATTCATCTGTCAAGCAGACTTCTTCCTCTCAACCATCATCTGTTGGGAAGTCTCTGGCTTTAAGCAGCCATTTGACCCATGAAGCACTGCAGCATAAGGCCAAGAGACTACTTTCACCTAAGAAAGTTCAGCCTAGTAAGAATATTTTATAAATACATGTACTTTCACTTACAGTTTCTAATTAATTCAGTTGTAGAATATTGAACAGGTATATACAGGGTTCGAAATTAACTTTTTTTTAGCACAAGTCCGCACGGACTAGTGACTTCTAGCTTCCACTAGTCCGCCCACTAGTATGTAAAAAGAATAACACATATCTTAAAATTTTATCAATTAATTCAATGAAATATGTGTCCAGTTGAAAGCATATGGTGAAGGAAAGATGGTTTTCAACTTCCAGTAAAAAAGTAAAAAAACAATTCCTTAACCTCCCAAATCACATACACAATGACAAACATGTGAAATAATACAATATATTTTGTTTTTCTTGCAGCGGTGAAGATAAAAAGAAAAAACCAGCATATCGTCCATTTTATGTAAAACTTGGAGAAATAAGATCTCTCACAGGAGAAAATGTTCCAGTGATAACATTAACAGCAACAGCTACCATTGAAACAAAGGATCACATCTACAAAAGCTTTTCAATGAAAAAAGTTGAAGAAATAATTGTCAGTCCAAACAAGCTGAATATTACGTATTGGTGCATCAAGTTACAGCACAGTAGCATTAAGAAAAATTTTAAATGACTTATTGAAGAGCTCAAAGCAAACAAAGAAGTGTATAGATATATATCTTTTTTAACAGTCAATTTACAGTGTCATGTTGCACGAAGATGACCAACAGTTCACATTCATATTTCCAATGCAATAAAAACAATGTGACGAATTTGAAGTCAAGAAGAAAGAAAATGAAGAATGTTTCATTAGCTACAACAAATACAATCTTGCATTTAAAACAAGTAGTTTTTACATGTCATTGCATGCACCCTATATTATTGTTCAAGATACCCATAGGAACAATAAACCAGAAGTCTCTGTCGAGACTGAAGCTCTACTGGTTTGTGAACTTAAAGCCAAGGAAGAGAAGAGTACTTAAGCAGCTGGGATTTGAAACTTTATAAACAGCATTAAATAGAATAATGATCGTTGACAAAGTCTCTTTATGTTCTTAGTGTAGTCTACTTGTGTGCCAAGTTATGCTGAAATCAGACCAAAACTGTAGGAGGAGTAGCATTTTGAAACAATTTAACAGACATTTCTTTTTTTTTGGTAACCACGGCAACACCGTTCATCAAAATTAAAATTCGATACACAGAATTATGTATCTTAGTGTATTCTACTTATGTGCCAAATTATATTGAAATCGGAACAAAACTGTAGGAGGAGTAGCATTTTGAAACAATTTTACAGATATTTCTATTTTGAGTAACCACGGCAACACCGTTCATTGAAATCAAAAACCGATACACAGAATTATGTATCTTAGTGTAGGCTACTTGTGTGCCAAGTTATACTGAAATCAGACCAAAACTGTAGGAGGAGTAGCATTTTGAAAGAATTTCACAGAAATTTCTATTTTTAGTAACCACGGCAACACCGTTCATCGAAATCAAAAACCAATAAACAGAATTATGTATATTAGTGTATTCTACTTGTTTGATATTGGTAGGTGCATTATTTTAATTTAAACTTTTTTTTAGCCTACCCGAGCCTTCACAAGTGATCACATTTTGTCCGTCGTCCGTCCGTCTGTAAACTTTCACATTATTCCTTCTTCTCAAAAACCATTTGAACAAATTTAACCAAACTTGATACAAAGCATCCTTGGGTGAAGGGGAGTTTAAATTGTGTGGAGGGCCAAGTGCCTTTCCAGGGGGAGATGATCAAGAAAAGACAAAAATTGGATGAGGTCATTAGAAAAAAAACCACTGGACCAGGAAAGCTTAACCTTATGTGGAAGCATCCTTGGGTAGTGTAGATTCTAAAACATTTAAATCCTGTAAGGGGAAGGTTTAAAGGGCACGATAGGTATAGGAAGAGGGGAAATCTCCGAAAGAAGTGCATCATCCAAGTTACTCTGGTGAGTGTTGTGGCCTATGGGGCTTTTGCTTTGTTTTTTTATATTGAGATAAAGCCTGGAGTTCGAATATCTATGTATTAATAAAGGTAAGTTTAGTCAAGGTCTGAAACTTGTATGAAAGTATTCTGGGAATGCAGAGTTTAAATTTTCAAAATCATAACCCCCGTGCTAGGGTAAGTAATGTGGTCACAATAGAATATACAATTTTATTTTGAAATGTATAAGTAAAATAGATAACAATTTTCTTCAAGAACTAATGAGCTAAAAAGCTGAATCTTATGTGAAAGCATCCTAGTGTAGTGTAGATTCTAAATTGTTCATGACCCCCAGTGTGTATTGTAGGGTTACAGTAAGGTATCTAAATTTGAAATTGAAATACATTAGAACATTTTTATTTATTTTTTCTTCAGACCACAGGGCAAGAAAAGCTGAAACCTATGTGGAGGCATCCTTGGGTAGTGTAAAAGCTATATTGTTTATTTCATGACCTCCGGGGTTATGGTTGGATCACAATAGGGAATCATAGTTTTACATAGAAATATACAGGAAAGATCTTTGAAAATCGTATTAAGAACCACAGGGCTATGAAAACTGAAACGTTAATGCGAAACAGTCATGAGCGGGTTATTAGTCCTATCATATCTCTTAAATCGCAATCCTAATACCACAAAAATGCCTTTTTACTGCAGACTGTTAAAGCCATTACATTCACATGAAAAAAAAGAAATACCGGTAAATCAATTCTGCAATTGTTTTTTTGTGTTGGCCAACTTAATGTTGTGTTTTTTCTCACTGTCGCATGTGTGCATTGTATGACTAATTTTCTGGTGTGATTACCCATGCTTAATGCGTTTGAAAGAAAAATACTCTGATGAATTCCATACAAAGGAGAAATAAGTGTCATGACAGATTACGGGAGAGACATTTATGGTAATGAGAGATTTTAATTTGACTTTTGTGGGGTATCGTCATCATGGTCATATGAGCTTTAATAACTCATGAATTATGAAACAAAATCAAATAGGATTTCGGATATATCTTTTTGAAAGACGGTTTTAAATGTTAGATAAGAAAAATGAAAACTATCAACAAAAACAAGCATTCTGAGAGTATTGCATAAGCAATACATGTCCCCTACCGGGTTCCCCTTTTTCTTCAGGATGTCATTTTTTAATATGCAAAAGTCATGTCCAAGGTTAAACTGAAAGATTTTCAAGTTGTAAATGCCTTAAATCTAATAAAATAATAAACATTAAGACGAAAATTCAACTCATTTATCCATCGTCTTTTCCTCGCTTCATATTTTTGTCGACAATCGGAAGTTGGCGCAGTTCGAACCCGATCTTAATTAAGCGATTATGAAAAATATTCAGAATGCCATAATTCTGTCAAAAATCAATGAAGCGAAATGAAATTCAAACTTGATCTGTAACTCATTAAGATACACTCACGTACCAAAATTCAGCTCAATATCTGCAAGCGTTTAGAAAAAAAGTGCGGAAAACCAAGTGGAAATGAAAAATATTCAAAATGCCATAATTCTGTCAAAAATCAATGAAGCGAAACGAAATTCAAACTTGATCTGTAACTCATTACGATACACTTACGTACCAAAATTCAGCTCAATACCTGCAAGCATTTAGAAAAAAAGTGCGGAAAACCAAGTGGAAATGAAAAATATTCAAAATGCCATAATTCTGTCAAAAATCAATGAAGCGAAACAAATTCAAACGTGATCTGTAACTCATTAAGATACACTCACGTACCAAAATTCAGCTCAATAGCTGCAAGCGTTTAGAAAAAAAGTGCGGAAAACCAAGTGGGACAGACTGACGGGACGGACAGACGGACGGACGGACGGACGCAGAGGAAACCTATACCCCCCCCCCCCCGGTTTCACCGGTAGGGGACTAATAAATTTAATTAATATCAAAAGTTTACCTTTCAGTATACTTAGAGAGAGTAAAATCAATATTTGCAAAGAATAATAATTTTAAATACAATTTTTTTCTTCTCAAAGTGGTTTGCTTACTATATAAATGTGACATCCATTTTCTTTGACAGACAATTTGATTTGCTGTGAACAATTGGTGAGATTACTTACTTCCTTAATGACTCCACAAATTGACACACGCTTCCCGTCCTCCTTTTCCAGTGCCTCAGCAGAGGTTGTCACTGGAGGGGCCGAAAAATTTCGGACCTTCTCCTCCCATTTGTTCATGAGGACTCCTTTGTCACCCTCTGGAAATTTCCTAAGCTGCAAACAAAATGTGTTTTTGAAAAACTTTACAACCAGCGTAAAAAGAGTTTGAAAAATCTTATTTTAGCATATCACAGGGATAAATCTATGTTTTTGGGAAACTACCCTTTCTGAAGAAATTGGGAAAAACAGGCAGGGTTTCGAAAAAACTTGAGTGAGTGCAGGGAAAGCCCTGCTTTGTGGACTATATCAGCATTTTTATGATAATTTAAAAAAACTCTATCGTTTATAAGAAATTCTAAAACAATTTCTTAACTACTGGGCCAAGAAAGATGACTCATATGGTATCATCCTCAGGTAGTGTAGATTCAAGGTTTTTCAAATCATTACCCCAAGGGGTTGGGTGGGGCCTATATGGCCTGTAGTTTTACGTAGGAATATATACTTTGGAAAAACTTTTTCTCAAAAACAATAGAGACAGGAAATATAAAACTCAAGTGAAATCATGCTCAGCAGGGTTCGAAATTAACTCATGTCCGTAAGTCCGAGACTGGTAAAAATTGTGTCGGACTAGCAGATTTTGTAAAGTACTAGTCCGTACGGACTAGTGCAAATCCAGATATGTCTTGAATCAAGTTCAAATTTTATTAATTTTATTTCTTAGAAATTTGAAAATAAACGAGAAACGCAAGTGCGATATAGCGTTTTCTACATTGTGATCAATAGACAAAAATGTGACCATGAAGAGATTTCTGAAAGTTGAAAACCTTCTTTCTTTCACCACATGCTTCCAACTGATGTGTGGACACATATTTCATTGAATTAATTGATAAAATTTTAAGGTTTGTATTATTCTTTTTACATAATATACGGCAGACTAGTGGAATAGGTTGCAGACTAGTGGAAGCTAGAAGTCACTAGTCTGTGTTGACTAGTGCTAAAAAAAGTTAATTTCGAACCCTGATTAGGGTTCATCAACTATTCCATTCCAATATATAAGAGCTGTTTAGAGCAGATTTTATATGTATGCTTTGGGACTGCTTTTTCCTCATGATTTATTATTTTTTAAAATGTTTTTGTAATTGGTTATGTGTTTTGTAGGGTTTCCAGTTAGAACATTTATAAAAAAGATTTACAAATTGTGGACAGGTACTCACTACGGTCCCTCTCTTGATTTGGTGAATGAAGTTTGTCGTAATGACTGCCTATGATGGCACTTTAAATATATCCCCCCTTTACCTTGAGAAGGCAACATCAGATGACTTCCCGTCCTCAGGTTCATCAGAGGTGTTAAGGTTCGGGAAAAGGATGATCCAGTGTGTGCTGTATACTTCCTCTCCTCCACTTCCTCCAAAACTAAAAAGAACTAAAACTGGGATTTCTGAAAAAAAATTTCCTGTCTCTATTGTTTTTGAGAAAAAGAGATTTGGAAAAGGTATAGCAAGCATTTATTAATCATTATAAACCTCAAATTCTTTATATTGAAAAAGATGGGGGATTTTCTGAATTTTAATTCATATTTCATTTAATACTATTAAAGGTATACTAAATTTAAAATCTCTATGATTTACAAAAGTCCTACAAAAACTGAAAATGTTTGCCTATTAAAGAGCATACACACTCTAAAAAGAACAAAAACAACCATTTTCTAAAAGTAGATGTACATTTTTAGCTCTTCTGAGCCAAAGGCTCAAAGAGCTAATGCTATGGCCATTTGTGCGGTGTGCGTTAACTTTTTAGAATATGGGCCATAACTCAAGAACCCCTTGGCCAATCAGTGCCAAATTTGTCACAGGGTATCCTTGGCCCAAGGGCTACCATTTATACTAAAATAAGGGTTGGGACCCTAAAACAAGGGGAGATAATCAGGAAAACAAAACCAAAAGTACTGGTTGCTAAAAAATCTTCTTCTCCAGAACCACCAGGCAGATTTTCACCAAACTTACATACAAGGATTAGGATATGTTGAAGATTAAAAATTGTTCAAGGCATGACCCTGGGGCAAAGGGCGTGGTCTCAAGGTCACTTCAAAGTTGACCTAAATTTACAATTAATAAAAACGTGTATATTTTCTTTACTATAAGGACTAGGATCATCAAATCTTGTAAGTTGATGCATCTTACGACTTCACATTATGTTAACTCAAAAGTAGGTCACGGTGACCTACTTTTTAAATTTTGCGGGGATTTGTTTTCAAATTGATTTGAAGGCATATTTTGGACTCTTTAAGGCCTATGATCATCAAACTTTGTCAGTTGATGCATCTTGGGTCCTCAAACACTGTAAACTTAAAAGTAGGTCACTGTGACCTACTTTTTGAACTTTATGACTTATCCTTTTAAAAACATTAAATCCCATTATTTCAGACACTGTGAGGTTTAGAATCATCAAATATTGTACTTTGATGCATCTTGGGACTTTTAAACATAATTATGAAAAAGTAGGTCACTGTGACCTACTTTTTGAATTTTGCTGACTTTTCAATTTTGTTTTCAAATTGTTTAAATCGCATATTGTGATTACCTTCAGACCTACAATCATCAAACTTGGTCAGTAGATGCATCTTGGGTCTTTGAAAAATGTCGGCCAAAATATAGGTCACGGTGACCTACTTTCGACATTTTATGGCTATATTTAAGTATCTTAGATATTTATTGGCTTAGAATCTTCAAACTTTGTGAGTCGATGCAAATTTGGTTTTCGGAGAGTGACGACCAAAATGTAGGTCACGGTGACCTACTTTTGACATTTTATGGCTTTATTTAAGTATCTCCAGTACTAATGGGCTTAGAATTATCAATCTTTGTGAGTTGATGCATCTTGGGTTTTCGGAGAGTTACGACCAAAAAGTAGGTCATTGTGACTAAAATTAAGTATCTCTGGTACTTATTGACCTAAAATGATCAAACTTTGTCAGTTGATGCATCTTGGGTCTTCAGAGATTGTCGACCAAAAATTAGGTCACAGTGACCTACTTTTGACATTTTATGGCTATATTTAAGTATCTCAGGCACTTATTGGCTAAGAATCATCAAACTTTGTCAGTTGAGGCATCTTGGGTTTTCGGAGAATGTCGACCAAAAAGTAGGTCACGGTGACCTACACTTGATTATCTCAGGTATGTATTAGCTTAGAATCATCAAACTTGGTAAGTTTAGGCACCTTGGGTTTTCGGAGAATGTCGACCAAAAAGTAGGTAACGGTGACCTACTTTTGACATTTTATGGATATATTTAATTATATCTGGTACTTATTGGCTCGGAATTATCAAACTTTGTCAGTTGAGGCATCTTAGGGTTTCATTGCATGTCCAACAAGAAGTAGGTCACGGTGACCTAATTTTTAATATCTCGAGTACTTATTGGCTTAGAATCTTCAAATTTTGTCAGTTTAGGCATTTTTGGTTTTTGAATAACATCGACCAAAAAGTAGGTCACTGTGACCTACTTTTGACATTTGTTGGCTATATTTAATTATCTCTAGTACTAATTGGCTTAGAATCGTCAAACGTTGTAAGATGATGCATCTTGGATTTTCAGAGAATATTGACCAAAAAGTAAGTCATGGTGACCTACTTTTGAATATCTAAGGTACTTATTTACATGTAATTAGAATCATCAGTCTTTGTCAATTTATGTATCTTGAGTCCTCAGCAAATTTCAATCAAAAGGTAGGTCACCGTGACCTACTTATGGTATTTTATTATTATATTATATCTTTAGTCTTAACTGGCTAAATATTATCAAAATTTGTAAGTTGATGCATTTTGGGTCTTATGATACTAATAGAGTTGGAGGCTTCTAATAGAAGTGATACATTGTACAATTTATCAGAAGAGCGATTCAAGGCCCTTGGGCCTCTTGTTTGATTTACAATAATATGGAGTGAAGACCCATTCACCGTTAAAGTACTTGTAAAGTATTTGCATCTTTCTGAGATTACTTTTAAGTCCATTAAGTCAAGGGTCAAAATGAAATGCCGAAGGCTCAAGTAAGCTTTTCTGATCAGATTTTGTCTAGCGTCCGTTAAACTTTTCACATTTTTCACTTCTTCTCAAGAACTGCTTGGCCAATTTCAACCAAACTTGCCATGAAGCATCCTTGGGTAAATGAGATTCAATTTTATTCAAATGAAGGGCAAAGTCCTAATTCTAGGGGAGATAATTGGAAATTGAAAATTTGGTGTCATATTTTAAAAATTTTCTTCTTAAGAACCAGTATGTCAGGAAAAATGAAACTCATGGAGGAACATCTACTTTATACACAACAATTCCGCACGACAAATTAAAATCCAGGCTTTTTGATATCATTGACAGCTGCTTCTTCAACAAAAATGGAACTCGTAAGTTTACTTACCTCGTCATTGGTCATTTGAAAAATTATTTTGTTAAAACAAATTCTGATTGTACACATAAGTACTCTGAAGTTGACATCAAGAAGATACTTAAGTTTCTGATTGACAATATCTATGTGGTTTTTGGAGACCAGGTATTCCAACAATCTATTGGAATTCCCATGGGTACAAATTGCGCTCCGTTATTAGCAGACTTATTTTTATATTCATATGAAGCAGAATTTATGCAAAATCTTTTGCGTGAAAAGAAAAAAACACTTGCTGTGGCCTTCAACTCGACATTTAGATATATCGACGACGTATTGTCAATTAATAATGATAATTTCCATTCCTACGTCGACACGATATATCCTGGTGAGCTTGAGATAAAAGATACCACAGAGTCCAACACATCTGCTTCATACTTGGATATTTTACTTGAAAAAGACACAAATGGTAATCTAACAACCAAGCTATATGATAAACGTGATGACTTTAACTTTTCTATCGTCAACTTCCCTTACTTATGCAGCAATATACCTTCATCACCTGCATACGGAGTATTTATATCTCAGTTGATTCGATACGCAAGAGCATGCTCTACGTATGAACAATTTCTTAAACGAGGTAAATTATTGACAAGCAAGTTGATGAAACAAGAATATCAACAGTCTCGTTTAAAGTCATCATTTCGTAAATTCTATGGTCGATACAATGACCTTGTCAGCAAATACAATTTATCATTGAATGAAATGCTGACTGACGTTTTTCATACCAATTGTTAGTCCATTATTTATACACTGAATTGACTACGGATTTTTTCCGTTATTTCCTGATTATGACAATGAGCACACGGCGGGTGTGACCGGTCAGCAGGGGATGCTCACTCCTCCATGGCACCTGATCCCACCTCTGATGTTTCGGAGGTCCGTGTTTGCTCTGCTCTTGTTTTGTATATTTGTTTAATGGACGTTGAGATTGAATACTGTTCGTTATTTCCATATCCTTCTTTCTATGCATATAGTTATATCCATGTAATGTTAGAGCATGCTGAGGATGTACCTTGTATTCAAGGTGTGCATGAGCTCTCTCCGTCATTTGGTTAGGTGTTGACATGATTGAAAACTGACCAAAAAATGACAAAAGGTGCTTATATTTATACCCTTTCTTTCTGGAAAATAACAGACCTTTCTGGAAAAAACTTGATTTAGAATTTACCTGAATTTTTTTTTACCTGAGACTAGAATTAGGGCCCATCAACAAAGAAGATTTTGGAATCCTAACGACGACCTTAGATGGGATCATTAACATCTTTAGAGCCTTCAAGGAAGAAGTCACATACGCATTTGGTGCCATGGGAGGAAAACTGGCTAAGCTGGAAGTCAAAATAAGTCAATTTGAGGACAAGATGAAATCAAGTACCAAACCAAAGGACCATGAAAAACCTAAAGGTCCGAAGAAAAGTAAGGAAACCAACCCTTGCTTTATGGGTCATTGAGCTCCAGACTGTCTCAGAAAAGAAGGAGATTTTTGTTTTAAATGCCATCAACCCGGACACTGGGCAAATGAATGCCTATACAAAGATGACGACCAGGAATTTCTGAGAGAGGTCGAGAAAACTGAAAAAAAGAGAAGTGAAAATACAGACAGTCATAACCCTCAGAAAAAGTTGCATGGGACAGCTGTTGCAACCATACATGAAAACCCAGGACCCAGTCAAACCAAGGAAAACAAACCACACACTGTGACCCAGGTAAATAAACCAAAGAAGAGAGTCGAGCCGCTTAAGAAGAAGAAAAGCTTAAAATTGCAGAAAAAAGTGAAAAATTAATGGACATTTAAAATTATATTCACAGTGTATTTTGTTTATTATTGTTGCTGTTGTTGTTTTTATTAATAAATGCAGAAAACACAACATCTGTTTT